TTTAAAAGCCACAATTCTGTTTTATTTGGTTGCAGTGTTGCACTCTCAGCAGCATGGGAGCACTAGATCACTGTCAGTGGTTACCTCCCTGACAAGGTCTCCCGCCCCTCGCTCTTACACACAAATGCATACACACACACACACACACACACACACTTTATAATGTTCCTTCTGGCACATTTTTTTCTACCTTACATTTCCATTTGACAGTCTAAATAACAAAAATAACTGAAGAGGTGCATTGAGCATCCTAACAATAGAACAACAAGAGAGCTGTTTATCTGCATGACAAGATGCCTTTAATCCCTTTGGAGAGCATCACTCTTCTCCATTCAATTTACCGCTCTGCTTAATACTTGAGTTTACCATTTTTTATTTTAGCCCTAGCATTGCATTTTTGACAATTGTTTCATGATACAACAGAGGTGGAGAAAGATTTTATTATCCCTTTTCCTAAAGATGAATTTTAATGTGGTTTGCATCTTAGAGACGGGATAAGTATTTCTGGGAAGCTGGTGGAATGATATGCAGAACATCAGAACATCTGCACCATGAGACAAACTGACTGCAGCACTAAAAGAGAAGCTGGACTGCAGTTTATGTCTTTACGTAATTGCTTTTAATGAGTGCTTATACATTAGCACCACTGCTAACATAAAATATAGCAGCATTAAATTTACAGAGGCTATGTGCATAGACAATACTGACTAATAAAAAAATATTTAAAAATGCTTTTTTTTTTAACATTTTATATATATTTTGTTTAACGATCATTACATGAGTCATCCAAACTTAAGATATAAATATAACCTCTCTAAAAATGCTGGGGCAAGTCTCAGCAATAGCTTTAAAGACTTTTTCTTTGAACAGACATGTAGGTAGAGTTGTGTGTGTGTGTGTGTGTGTGTGAACTTTAAAAGAAAATCATGAGTCATATCTCCAAGTTTTCTTGGTGCATCCTATATATGATTTTTTTTTATATATACTCTAAAATATGAAGGTCCTTTGCAGCACAACACAAGAAGAAAAACAAGTCAACTGTCATATCCGCAGGTGTAGGTGTGTGGCAGGCAGAGTTGTGGACCCAAAAACGCAGGACTTGGCAACACAGAACTGAACTAAAAAACACAGCTTTAATGCTGGAAAAACAGGCAACAAAAACAAAAGGCAAAAAACCCAACTGAACAGTCACAACCATAAAAATAAACTGACTCAATCAAGAGAGGAAACACAGACAGAACCACCACCTACGACGAGGGAGAGCGCAACAGAGAACAGAAGGAAACACAGACAATATATATACAAGGAGGATAACACACAGCTGACACAAATCTGACTGACGAGACAGAGGAAGCAAAAGTGAACATAATACATATATATAAATAGAAAACTATCAAAATAAAACAGGAAGTACAAACACTGAGACTAAGATTCCAAAAGACAAAACACAGTTCAGGGGGTCAACCAGACCTCAGGGCAAAACTCAGTGGCTGAGGCTGGCAGTAGAGACGATGAAGGTGTGGAGGTGATGGTGGCAGAGACCCACTGCAATAGGACTGGAGTCTGGCAATGATGTGGTGGGCGGAGACCCTCGAGAGACAGGACTGGAGGCTGGGAACAGTGGAGATGAAGACCCCTAAAGCAGCTTGGCAGGTGGCCAGCATCAGTGGCGAGCCATATACTGCCATGGTGTGGAAGCCTCGGGCCCAGACAGTGCAGAGACTTCTGATGAGGACTGGGGCCCCACATTGCACACAGCGCGCTCTGGTTGCTCAGGCTGGGAGTACGCACTGCACGCAGCAGGCTCTATGCTCTAGATGGCGCTGCTTGGCCTAGCACCCAGCAGATGCAGGAGACTGCCGCTGCTTGGCTGAGCACCTAGCAAATGGCCACAGAGTTTTGCAGTTATCATTCCAGTCAGCGTCGAGTAGGAATTTGTCAGCTGTTGAAGGATGAGGAGGTATTCATGTGCTGCTGACGTGACAACAGGACGGGGAAAGCATGAAGAGAGCAGTTTTTGCAGTTCTTCTTTAGCCTCGGTGAGAGCACAGACCATCTCCGGAGACCGAGGAAGCTGGAGGAGCAGAGGGTTCCTCTGGATAATTTGTTCCTTATGCCCATGACTTAGGAGATGTGAATCAAAAGACTGTTCATCCGTGTTAGAGCCAACCCACATTCTTTTTAGGGCTGAGTCTGCTTGGTCCATTATTTGGTCCCGTTCTTCTGTCATATCCACAGGTGTAGGTGTGAGGCCGGCAGAGTTGTGGACCCAAAAACCCAGGACTTAGCAACACAGAACTGAACTAAACATCTAAGCATTGGGCAACAAAAACAAAAGGCAAAAACCATCCAGACAGACAGAACCACTACCTACAATGAGGGAAAATGCAACAGAGAACAGAGGAAAACACAGACAATAAGACAAGGAGGATAACACAGCTGACACTAAACTGACTGACGAGACAGGGGAAACAAAACTGAACATAATACACATGAAAACAGAAGACCATCAAACACTGTGACCAACACTAAGACACATGGGCTTGACACAGGGACTGGGGAGAAAACAGACAGACACGGGTACATGACTGTGAAGGCTGAAAGTCAAAGAGATGAGACTAAGGAAGACTGAACTCTAGAGACACCAATACAGAACTAGAATGTAAACCATAGCAAACACAAAAACAGGAGCATGACATCAACACTTCACGGCTGAAGGCTGTAAAATTTTGAAATGCAAAAAAAAGCAGATTACTTAATTATTTACTTATCTTGATCCAAAGATCTGCAGAAACTATTTGTGCTGCAGGGCATTTATCCTATAGGAATGTAATTATTCCATGTCAGGGCCTATATGTCCTAGGTACAAACCATGATTGGAGGCAATCATAAGTTCGCCATGTACTGAAAGGTGTTGTTGGCCTTTATATACATGGCCTATAATCAGACCAAAACTCTAATTCTAAAACTAGTATCTTTGAGATTTTCGGGGGATTTTTTGGGTAGAATTCAAGGCTTCTAAACACAACTTGCAGCTATCCAGTGGTAGCAAGAATACAATTACAGCCTCTCTTAAATAAGCTCAAGAAACAATTTTATTTTAATCCACAGGAGCAGTGCCTCTACTCCTCCCAAACGGCTGAGGTTCGAACCCTATCTAAGAGAAAACCCAGAGACAGTTCTGAGAGGTTATTTCTGCCGCTTTTATCTGTAATCTTACTCATTAAATCACGACATAATGCTTGTAGCTACAGGTGAGGGCGAGAAGGCAGGCTGACTAATAAGTTGATAATGTCACCTTCATGCTCTGGCACACTGTCTGCATCACAGACGATGCCATGTGCCATCTTTCTGTGCCACTCATCTGCCATTCACGTCAATACAACTTAACCGATAAGCAAGAAATCCTGTGGGTTTGTACCTGTGGTAAAAAGCTGCTCCTGTAAGGACCATGGAGTACTCATTGGTCCACTTGGAAGTGTAGCCCCAGCGTGATCTGGAACTATCCCAGTAGTGGCTCCTTGCTGGATAACCAACAATACGCTCGGGAAAACTTTGCCATACAGTGAAGGCAAAGTCCACCTGGTCAAATAGAAAAGAAAGAAGGTGTTGAATAGATTAGATGTGTGGAGGAAATGAAAAAAAGAAAAGAAAAAGAAGAAGCAAAGGTGGAAGCACAATGAGAAAAAATGGAGAGAAGAAAAGCCCAAAGAAAAGCAATACAGCTTATTCAGAATATTTGCGGTGTGGTAAAAATTGCATTCAAAACACCTGTCAAATGGCATTTAGCCAGCTAAACCAACAAGACCGTCTTCTAAACAACTTCTCTGCCTCTTCACAACTACACAAAGAATATTTTTGAGGCCATTTCGCAATGTTTTCATTCCAGCTGAAGCACTTCATGTTAAAATGTCATTTAAATATCAGAGTGCACTCATTGATCAGTTGGAGAGCTCTGAGTCACATTCTAAACCGGGCTGTGCCGACCTGATTCATAATAATTACCTCTTGCATGATCAAATGAGGTTTAATTTTTAACTTTTTAAAGAAAAATCTAATTTAAAACAAACAGATTTATGCAACATATTAATAATATCTATTTAAATACTTATCTATTATTCTCAGGTCATAAAATCCCTAACCCTGAACTTAATTAAGTCAGACTGCTCATGTTGAAAATGATTCATTACAGGGTCAGGTGTGCTGTCTGGGCTCCAGGTTTATTATATATCAAAGATGGGGAGTGATGAATAAATATACCCTCCCAGGGGATATTTGTGCAGGTAACGTCTGGGGTAGTGGAGGCTTCAAAACAGCAGGCAGTGATACAGGGAGACAAATGAAATATTTTGCAACTTAAATCAGGAGGGTGTGCTCGTATATATTATAAGGAAAGTTTGAAAGTGTGTAATGCAGTGCATTTAACAGACTTCTGTCCATTTTAGTGCAAAATACAACCCCACCAATGGGGCATGAACTGTGGTTAACTGGTTAACAGGCTTGTGATTTACACCAACACCATCCCTATTTTGTTGCTATTTCCATCAGGAGTGCTGCGGCCAGGAAGTCAATTTGGCAGCTTCAAAGAAGACTGTGTGTGCATCACCAAGAAACTAGATGCTTTGAGGATCGAGACCCTGGAAGCAGAAACAGGTTCCTGGTCTTGCATTGGGGTCAACTTTTAAGCAGGTGCCAGCTTTGACTGTCTCCTGCTCCATTTTCCTTGGAGACTGCCTACTTCACAATTAAAAAGAAATTTCTCATGGCCTTTTTGTGGAGCAGCTGGTGCCCTTGAAGAAGATGGAGCTACCTGACAAAGACCCTCTTTTGAATACCAAAACACCACTGAGACATTCGGCCAGACACACTAGAGAATAAGGGGTTCAGCACATAATGAAATACTTTGTTAGACACACACATCCACACACCCACACACACACAGAAATTAATTACCAGAGTAGCACAGGTAGAGGAACTAGAAGTTGGAGAGGGGTGAACCAAAGGTGGATGTTCTGTCATAAACTGAACTACTGTAAAGCATCTGATGTAAGCTGAGAAAAGGTGATTCAAAGCACAGGTCCTCACGAAGGGACATGTTAGCTGTGTGTGTGCACTGTGTTCCTGTATGAAAATGTGCCCATGTGGCAGATATGTGTGCGTGCGTGAGTGAGAGAGAGCAAGAGACCACTTACAAGTGAGTGAGTAACAAAGCACAGGTTCATTGCAATCTGTCTGTCTTAATTATCGTTTAATATGACTGAAAATTTCTAATGAGCCTTGAACACAGTCTGTGTGTGTGTGTTTGCAAGACTTCACAAAGTAAACAGTTACATTTAAAGGTTCATTAAAGTTTATGGTAATGGTGACGGTTATGTTTCAGGTTAGGGTGAACTTCCAAGATGTTAATGCAAGACAATGTAACGTCCTTTGAACTGACGGAAACACAACACACAAATGTGTGTGTGTGTGTGTGTGTGTTTGTGTGTGTAATTCATACTGATGGATTCTACAAAGCCAAAATTGATCTGAAAAGTCGAGGGTCAATCCAGCAATAGATCTGCTACAAATCTCTCCTGACATTTGGGTTTAACATGTCCAGTGTTATAAGATGAAAAGGTGTTGCATCAGATTTTAGAGCCCCTATCTCCCCTCAGTGTTTTAAATGCTTTGGTTGTTGAAAAGTTGTGTCTGGCTTTATTTATTTATTTTCCTCTCCATGAAGCAATGCCACTGCAGTGCTTTCACTGTCAACCTCCACCTGTCTTCAGGATGATAAAACTCAGGAAAATGTGTTGTAAACTGATCTTGTATCCAGCAGGTTTGGAGTGCTGTGGTTTTGATGAAGTTTTACAAGCAGTCTCAGTGTGATCCAAGATAGCCAGCTGGGTTTTAAGGTCTGTATTTTGGGGCTAAAGGGAGCTATAGCAGTTTTGTATTTTGCAGCGTTTTAAGACTATAGCCATTCTCACCAAGTAGTCTCAGTGCTGTGAGGTTATGTCTCATCTTTGCAACTCCAAAAGTATCTTTCATTGATTGCTTAAAGGTTCTTCTATAGATTGCAAAGGTTAAGCATTTGGCGTTCAGTGCTGCATGCCAGCACCACAGTCTATTACAGCTTCTACATACAAACATCAGCTGAATCTCCAAACAGTTAAATTAAATTAAAGTTAAATTATTAAATATGCAGCTCCAATATCAAGACATATTCTCTTCAAGGTAAAGGTTTATAATTTACATGTGTATGTGGAGCACACCAGGCTTCCTTGGTTCAAAGGGAAGTTAGGGTAGACTGAATTTGTGCTCCAGATTTTTTTTTACAGCAAATGTCCAAATGGTAAATGTTAGGGCCCCAGTCACAGAAGCCTAGAGACCAACTGGTGACCATTTGGCAACCACCGTTCACCCCAAACCAGTTGCAAGCGTTGAGTGGCTGGATGTTGCTTGTTGTCCCTATGTGAAATATACTGTATTTCAGTATTGCACCGAAAACCACATTGTGATGCCTTTGGTCGTGAGCAGATTGCCTCTTTGTGACCAGTTTCACTCATGAACCTCCAGCTTCATCAACCAGTAGGGGACTACACGTTTTTCCCTAGTGACCAGAAGTTGGCAGGGGGCTGCAGACTGGTCTCTAGGCCTGTGTGACTGAGGCTTTGAAGTAATTTGGAAGATGCATGAGAAAAGCCAAAGGAGGACGTAGGGATCGGTAGAGGGGTTAAAAAAATGTTTTTTTAATTAATATGATCCAAGAATATGTTGTCTTATTTTATCAAAACTGTTTCAAAAACTTACTACAAAGCACTTAATTTAAAGAACCATTTTATGTACTTTAGAGAACCATGCACACAGAAGGAAACTAAGAGTGAGACTGAGACCAGAGACCACAGAGTGTCAGTGAAAATGCAGGGATTTGAAGTGATGAAAAATTCAAATTTAAACAAATATTGGGTTTCCTTGCTTGCTGTTCTGGATTAGAAACACACCAGGTTTTAGATGCCTCTAAATTGGCTTCATTTTTCTTGAACACCACATGCATCTTTTATAAAGGGTTTTAGACACAAGATTTAAACCACATACAGGTGAAGTAAATAACACTCATTATCTTGGCATAACCCATGTTCAGCTGGTTTGCTGTGTTCATATATTTGACACAAGTAAGCAGTGATTCAGACCAAGAAAGACATTCCGAAATCACTTGAAGGTGGAAGAATTTTCAGATTTTGATTGGCAGGATTTCCCACACTGTCAGTCCAATATCAAGCATGCTGAAGCCGGGGGCCTCAAAGTGACACTTTCAACTCATCCAATCAATCAATAGGTAAGAAATATGAACTTAATGGGAGAAAATACCCTAAATGAAATGAGGTAGCGTCAATGAGCAAAAGAAAGCCATAGAGGTCAAATCATTATCTTTTCTATGAATTTATGATTTGTTTAAGTGTGTACTGAAAACCTTGAATACTAATGAAAATTACAAGTGCTCTGAAACATGTTCAAACCTGGAGACAACCTTTAAATGAAAAGAGGATCAAGATTCTGCCACTGCTGTTGTAACACAATTTCCATATCTATCATATAGAAAATGTCTTCCAAAGGGCATAATTCAGCAGCATGCTTGGCTGCCCAATGAGAGACAAAAGCTTTGTCAGGTCGTATCCCCTTCTCTAATCTCTCTTCATGGAATAATCATACATTTAATGAGCTGAAACAATGTAATTATGAAATTGGCACAGCCATTCTTCTGCCGAGGTATTGTAATATGAAAAGTCCTATTAAAAGTGTAATGTTCTCTCTTGCACATTTTTAGTGAATTGACATATTTAATCTCCTTTCAATAAAGCCTCTCACCATGTTAAAAGGGCAATTAGAGCTATGGGTTAGTAAGCACAGCAAAGATTCACTTCACTTCCTCTCTTATTCACTAGTTCTCTCCCTGACATTTTCTCCCTCCTCTCGTTTCATAAAACAAGCCGTGTGCTCATAAAAGTTTAGTTGTAGAAACTTGCTCATATTGCTGTGCCTGAAATTGTGGTGCTATAAAGTGTAATTGCGATCCCGTTTGCCTAGAAAAGGTGAACATTGACTTGCTCCGATCAATAAAACATCTTAGAGTTTAAAGATATATTCGATCTCTAGGGCTCATTGGGCCTCACAATCTATTATGGATTGCATCTTTCATTCGCTGAAGATCTGCAGAGAAAGAAACAAGGCAGCTACTTGTAATGGCTCTTAAAGCAGGAGCACTAATTTAGCATCACAGATGAGCTGCTTGTGACCGAATTGCTGCCGTAAAGGTAAGGAAACTTTGTGACTTGGGTCATACTTGTCTGTATTTGTCTATCTGGAAATTCATGCAAATGAGTGTATGTTTGATAACATTATAGTCCATATGCTTTCAGAAAACTTTCAACAGCTTTTACTTGTAAATAATGTTTTTCAATTGAAATGTATAGAATTCTTTAATAGAAAATGTACTATGAAGGCTGTTTTCTTAAAAAAGCTTTCTATACCATGAATTAGAAACACCATACTTCACACATCTCCACTCTCTATTACACATTCCTTATACCGTACAGGGGATTGTTCATGTATCATTCACCTCTAGATTTATACTACGGATGAAGTTAATATAAATATTTAAATAGCCATTAAATTATTATTTTTTTTTTACTTTTAAAGTCTACCACTAGAAGGCAGCAGTACTGCAATTAAGGCTGTTAGTCAGCCTCCAAAAATATATATAATATAAAAAATAAATATAAATGGCTACAGCCTTCAAAAATTCAGAAAACTACACAGAAATCAAATTCGGGGTAAACTTTACCAGGTAAAGTTAGCATGGAACAACTCTACTAATGTTTTTATTTTTGAATGGTTTAAAGTGAATTTTTGCCTCCAAGTGTCACAAGTATCTAGACGGTTCTAGCCCTAAAAAAATGACAATAAAATATGTTGACAGTATTTTCTGATTTGTAGTACAATGCAAATCTTTTTTTCTTCCTGTTTTTATTTTAAAGTAATTAAACCAATTTCAGAGGAATGTTGTTTTTTTTTGTTTCTTAAGCCACAAAATTTAAACGTTTTTGAAAGAAAAGCCCACAATACAGTGCTATCAGTCATGATCGTGAGAACCAACATCAAAAGAGCTTTGAATGCCCTTCAAGTCCAGAGAACTGTGTGCCTCTGCAATGTTCATATTTCAGTGGTTTTACTAAGCCCCACTTGGCTCACTAACTCTGCTACAATGTTTTAAAAAGGTGGATTATCATCATTATTTCCTCCCTTGACAGAGCTTCAAACTATTCTCTGGTTTCTAATTTGTTCTAAAACAGTACAAAAGTGTTCCTCATCCTTTTTTTTAAGTAACAAGTGAGACTTTAATCAAAGAAGCGCTCTGTGTTTTGGCAGTGTAATGATACAGACACAAAGTTAATGGCTCTCGTAAAAATCCATGAGAGCGCTTTGTTTTTCATTAAACACTCTTCAATCTGCTTTTCCAACATTTCCTTATTTGCTCTTGCTTTGATTTTGAGCAGGGTTTTTTCACCTGGTTTTCTCTTTCACTTCTCTCTGCTCTGTAATTTTTTTCATACCACTGTTACTTTCACTTTTTCCCCTTTCTAGCCTGTATTTTCTTTCACATTTTAACACTGCTCACATTATTCCTTATCTCTGCTTTTCTCTCACCTTTTCACTGGGTTAATTTAAATTACAAGAATACAAATTGAACGAGTTCCACAGTAATTTAGTAAAGGCAGGATCTCAGTTTGTGGCGTCTGTAATCAGAACTCTTTGCTTGCTTGCTTTGCTATTCGATTCTGCTGCTATGTTAGACTTCCTACTCATCTCGCTTAGTTTTTAATCATCCTTTAAAGGCAAAACACATTTTCCACCTTAAGTTCAGTGGCCATTGTGCTGTTTTGTAGAGTGAGGCATTTCATTTATAATGAATAGTATTCATGACTCTTCGAGAACAGACTGTTTCATTTCAAAGAGGATCAATAATGTGTTAAGACATTGTCACCTTTTACCACTGACTGCCATAAAACCATGCAGATCACATCAAGCTGTAAAAAAACAGTTTCAGACGTAGGCTTCCCTACGTCTGAAACTTTCAACTTTCTGTTTTTGTGCAGTTGTGTCTAAATGCATTTATGTTTGAATTATAGTATTCAAGTATTCATTTCTATCAAAGTTGAGTAAATTGTAGGGATGAACACAATTTGTGTATATCTCTGCTTTTGCCAACTTGCTCAGCAGCTTTTAAAATGTTTCACAAAGGCGGTTTATTAAATTTGTGAAAGTCTGCATATTAGAAGCCCCAGGCAAGGTTACTTAAGTTTGCATTACTTTTACCAAAGCCACTGATTAATCCTCATTGTCAAACCATTTTCTACAGTTGCCCTGAGAGTTAAATAAACTGCAACTTGAAGTGAGCTGTGAACCAAAATTAGAAACATGCTGAAACAAACAGGATCTACATTTCCCCGTGGTGTCAAATAGATGAAGCTGTTTTCTGAATTATCTTGCTTTTAAAATTTGCAGATGTCTTCTCAAGCTGCAGTGACATGACCTGTCAGGTCAACTGTACTTTGTTTTTGTAAACTATATTGACAAATGTACTGGGACACCTACACATTTCACCTACAGGAGCTGTACGGCCATGGAAAGTCTTGCCAAGCTACACCATTTTTGGGCTGGAGTTAAAGCCAGAGGAGATTTGAAACTCTGCAGTTATTAAGTCAGCAAAGCTCTGCTGACTTTTATGCACTATGCACCTCAGCACTCGCAACCCCGCTCTTCAACTTTACATGCTCTGAGATGCTGTGTTTCCTAAACACTTCAACTTTTCAATAATACAACTTACAGCTGATTGTAGAATAACATAACCTGACTTCTTGCAAAGGTTGCATTCTATTACAGTACCACACTTTCACTAATGTTTGTAAAAAACACACTGCAAAAGCTTGAATTTATATACCTGTGGTAATGGAAAGTATAAACACCTGAATTCCAAGGTAAAGAAATAGCTAAATAATTTTGTCCACATAGTGTAACTTGAAAAGTGAATAATAGAAGAAATACAATAAATCTGACAGCTCTATATTCTTCACCATGATTGTCAGCTAATCATTGAAACTGTGACATTTTTCTTATTAGCCAAAGATTAAGGTTTAGATTTTTTAGTTTTTAATGTCTTCACATTTTTAAAATGCTAAATGAGTGAAAGTCAGTTCAGTCAAATAATTTTGTAAAAGCAGACATTGTAACTGCTTTAATTACCTCCGTCTCAAATCAAAGACCAGTTTTCACGAAATAGCTTTCAAAGTCATTGTTTAGGCTGAGAGTGTTGCATGTGTTTTTGCACAGCTATGTTGAAATGGTTTCTTTACTAACTTGGGATCTGAGGCTGATATCAGTGTTTGGTAACAATGTGCCTTGGGAGCATCACTGTCTCACCTCATTTTGTTGATAAAGCACCAGTGTCTCAGTTCACCTGTATGTAAAACTTCAGTGTAGTCTCAGTTGGTTGATAAACTATCGTTAACTCACCTCATTGGTTGAGAGAACAGAGTCTTCATCCAGACTGAGGACGGCGTCGGTGATGATGGCGTCATGGGGGAAAAAACGACTGCTCATCGTCTGCAGGCAGAAAGAGAGGAAATAGTTTGCACTACTGCTAACTGACAAACTTTAAGGAGTCTGAGCTTTTTTAGGGATCAAAGAAACCTATTATACACATTATGTATTTTAAAGGTATAGAGTTGGTATAGCAATATAAAGAAATCTATAAAAAATAAAGGAAAAATTGTTTCACCACCCCAACCGTGTGTTTTATCATTCACTGTGCTCACTTAATAGGTTTTGTTTGAGTTCTGATCAATTCAGTGCCTAACAGAAAGCATGCAACAGGCCCTGATCCATTAGCCCAAAGATCACTGCTGCTGATGTTATTGACTCATAATTAACGTGTGAATTATTTAACTGTTTGTGAGGAAAAGTAACAAGGGCATGAGTAATTGATGAAAAACAGGTTCAGTTGAGATTTCAAAGAACCTGCTCCCGGGCTCAGCACTCAGGATCTTTCAAAATCAGTTATCTTAAATGTGAGTGGGTAGCAAAGAACGAACAAGTCAGTATGATGAACCTCAGACAAAGCATGTAATTTATACATTCACCGGCCACTTCATTAGTTGCACTTCTTTAACAGTCACAACTCAGTACATTTATGCATGTAAGCATGGTCCAAAAAAATCAAAATGAGCAACAGAATGATGAATTACTTGTACGTAGCATAGTTGCTGGTGCCAGACAGGCTGATCTTAATACTTCAGGCAGTGCTGAAAATGTCCCTACGGTGATTTAGCACACAAACATCTCTAGGGTTTACAGAGAAGGGTCTGAAAAACAAAAATATCAACTGAGTGGCAGTTCTCTGGGTGAAACTGCCTTGTTGATCTCAGAGGTCACTACAAGGACATTACAACCAATTTATGCAGAAGAGCATCTCTGGTCACATGGCACCCCTAAACTTGAAGCAGATGGGCTACAAAAAGCAGAAGATCACAGGTTTGATGGTGAAGATGTAATTGTGAGGGATATATTTTCTTGCCACACTTTGGGCACCTTACTGCCACTTGGGATGTCATCCAATGAGGGATTAAGATTATGTTTGAGCCGCAAATAAATCTGTAGCAACGGTTATGATCTCAAAATGGTCCAAAATCACTATAAGGAATGTTTCCAGCACTTAGTTGAATATATGCCATGAAGAAGGTAAAAGGGGTTCCAGCCCACAAATACCTAAGGTTTACCTAACAAAGTGGCTGTTTGAGTGTATACAATATTCTCAACAAAAATATTTAAATCCATAATATTAGCTCTGTAGCAACATATAGCGAGAAAATATATTTTTGCTTCATCTTTAACTCACCCAGAAAGATTATCTTTTCAACTGGAATTACCTAAAATGTGCTTGTGTAAAATTTGCTACCCTTACAGCTTCCTTTCAATTATTTCAAGATTTTATATCACTGAAATGAAGTGTCATGCCACAGCGGTGATGTTTTACATGGATTCATGACCTAAAAAAAGAAAAGTAAATTAAATTTACACCCCCAGGGGTAACATTAAGAGGCTTATTTTGTCAAGTAAGACCACAAATCTCCACAAGCTTAATGTCTACTTCCATTTCAGCCTAATGATCTGACGGATGCTGAGATGAAATTTATTAGGAAATTAAGCGTAACATCAAATGAATTTCAACACAAATCCCCGACATTCTTTCAAGTATTTGAGAATGCCACATCAAATTCTCCATTAAATCACTGCTTAAAGAAAGAACTCCTGGCAGAAAATGTGTTTTTCTTTGGATGGTTGCCCTATAATCAGGAGACATGTACCTTATTCAGTCAGGACAGTGTTCGCATTAGCCAACAGCTTCTCAATTTCCTCAGGAAAAGCCACATGGCAGTGAAACAAGTTGCTAAATTAACCACAAAAGCATGCCTGATAATCTGCTGCAGTTTCCAGACTTAGTGGTGGGAATGTATTAAATCAAAGTTGCATGCACACATTTGCATAGTCAATGTGCATATAAATAGGCATGACAGTCTAATCTTGCATACAGTCTTTATATTATTTCTTCACTACATTTCCAGCATCTGAAGGTCATCATTTTCAAAATTTATCGCTCATTTTATTATCGTTTTTCTTCTTTCTTCTTTCACTAAATTAGAAATCTATTTCTTACACACATATGCACATATTATGAATCGTCCTGGAAATCAACATTAACATATGCCAAAGCAAATTCATACAATTATGGTATTCAGTAAGAAATTAGTCTCCTCCTGAAGTCAATATGGATTAAAAGTCCGAGAAAATATCACATCTGCATGTTTTATGGCAACTTAGGAAATGCAATCTGCTTTCATTAATAAGGTCTGCAGTTGAAATCATTTTATCAAAACTTTTGCTCTTTTATCCTGTGTAATTGGTCAGAATTGTGGTCCATCTATACTTAATTTTTCTTTTTTAAGTTTTTACGTTTTTTTTTCACACTTTTCAGTTTTAGATCTAAACTGTAATAAGTCAAGGACTATGGGACTGATTAACTTGCCACAATTTCATTGCAATCTATCCATTCACTGTTACATGTTTCCATCTCTACATGGAATTTAATTTGTCCACTACTTTAGTTTATGGCCAAATACAGTACACATAAAAAAGCGGATTTCAGTACTTTTGCATTTGTGCAAATTACCAGTTTGCTAACAGACTAAACTGATATGGTGAACATGTCGAATGTACATGCCATTCCATGTTAGCATATGGGTGATAGCAGTTTAGCACTAAGCAACATGACTGTAATCTCTTGAAGCCTCAGGCTGTCATGTACTGTGTGCAGGCAGGCAGGAATGGTGGCCCCAAAGTGTAGACTCCAGCAGGCAAACGTGAACTCAAAACTCAGCTTTATTTCCTGGATGGCAAAAAGAACAGAAATCTAACTAAACTGGAAATATAAACCAAGCAAAAACAGGCTGATAGGCAGAACACACAGCATGGAATACTGGAGACCACAACACAGACAAAGGAAAACACAGGGCTTAAATACACAGAGGGAGCAATCAGGGAATGGGAGACAGGAGGGAAACACACCTGGGACAAATCAGGCCTAACAAGACAAGCGAAGCAAAACCAGACACATTAACATAAGACACGGACCTTCAAAATAAAACAGGAAACACGGACTGAACTTCCAGACACAGACTCACAAGCAGACACTGCACCATAGGGAACACAGAGATGTAGGACCAGGGCAGACACAGACTGGACACAGAACAGAGGGAGTATGGAAACCAAAACCTAAGAACTACAAAATCACAAACTAAGAACAACTGGAGAAATAGAAATGCAAAACAGAAACCAAAACCATCACAGTCATAAACCAAGGTGAGAACACAAATAAAAGTACAAAACTGAAAACACTGGGTCAATGACCCAGGTACCCTAACACAGTCAGACAAGCCTGGAAACTAGTTATGACCGCCTGTCTATGTTGGTCACTAGAAAAATGGGCTGGTAACTGGTTGCTGGAGGTTGCTTGCTGGGTGAAATAATTCGTAAAGGGCTCCACCATCACCTATGTGATTGTTACAACTTAAATAAGTATGACACAAAGCAGAAATGGAGAATGTTCACCTTCAAAGTAAAGGTTGTGCCTTATTGCTGCAACCACCACATTTCAAAAAGGAAAGCTTCTACTTTCACTTTTACACTTTTCACAGTTTTACTACAGCTTGGATAGTAGTTTGTGAGAGTTTGAAGCCAAGCTGGTGTCTTCCAAACAAAGTACTGGTGACCAATACAGCCTGCTAGCAACCTGCGCAATCTCAACGACATTTGTGGTGCAGCATCATATGTCTCTTTGTAGCCAATTTCAGCTAGTCCCACTAAAAAGCTACAGCAAGCATTAGCCAGCTACAATTTTTCACTAGTAACTGGTGATTGCCATAGAATGACTGGGGCCTAAAACATGATTTACAAAAATTAACACAGTAAATCTACTTTTTACATCTTAGCATTCACTGTATTTTACCATAGTTTTGTGTATAGTGCCCTCTATGCATCTATATAAAGACTTTATAAAAGTTTCTTTGGGCTGAAAATTGTCCAACTTAAGCTCAACTTAAACTTGCTTAAAACACTTATAAAACAGTACCCTTCAGCAGTAGACATTGGTATTGGCACTAGCCCTCAAAACCTTTTACTGGCTAAAATTTACCACCCTTCCATCACACAACCATGCTTCCCTGTGGCTAGTGTCAATGCTTTTCTGCCTCTAGACAGAGATTAGATCCCACTTAGCTCTCGGGCAGTTCAGTGGTCTGAACTTTATCTTTGTTGCTCTCGTTCCACTCATTTCCTCTCTTTATGTTTGCCATGACTTCTGTTACTTAAAGGATAGTCTTTGGAGATGTCTTTTCTGATTCTATGCCATTGATATATCAAGATGTTTCTAAGTTAAAGTTAAAGGTCAAAGACCATGTGTGTATCTGAAAGATGATCATAACCTATCAACAGCCATTTTCTCTCATGATGAATAGTTTACTTGAAAAATAACTATAGTTATATTTGTAGTTTAAGAAGAGTTATTACTATTGGTAATGAAGACTTTAACAAATCCCTCATCCCCATATCCAAACCATATTTCTGGTTATTTGCAATTTCGAACCCTGTTAGCTAAACTGCAATGATATGCTAACAATGACTGGTTTTACAATGTCATTACAATAATTTAAACAATAGGACTCAAAAGTACACAGCTTTTCAAAGTTGGTCAATAAAGTGAAAGTGAAAGTCAGCTGAGTATTGTGCAGTAAAAGAGGGAAAAAAAGAGCCATGTGTTAGTCATGTGTTAGCGCTGACACTGACATAAATGGGGTTAAAATGCCACTAAATTATAATTTAAATGAAAGAGAAATGTAATTACTTCTGTAATTAATTACCTCTGCCTGTAGTGATAAAGCCAAAGAAAAAAAGGCCCCAACAACAGGCCTTAACAGAAGCCATTTTGACATGGCATTGCAGGGCAAAATTAATAACATCAATTATGGCCCTGTTCCATTTACATGGGCCAA